CAAAAATTCCAAAGTATCATTAAATTTGACTATAAATCTTCATTAGCTCATATTTGACCTGTGAATTAGATTGTATCTTGGATTTCCTCTCTGTTATGAACAAATGGAAAATGACAAAATACAGTTGGCTAAAAAAAGTACTTGTGATCCTCTTACATTTATAATCATTTTTACATGACCTGAGATAGCAATATAAAAGAGGAACATAAATGAAACATTTTCTAACCATGAATCACAATGAAATTATATTTAAATAATTTTGCCATTTATGAAACTGAAAGAAATTATTAATGAGGTATGTGTGCTTATTTATTTTTCTAGGATAAATGGAATGTTAACTGACTATTTGATATTAGGATATTGCAGTGTCATTGACATTTTTAAAGTTGACTGATATTTTGATATTATATTTATCAATGCAAAGAATGGAATTTCATAGTAGAATAGTACTTTGAGTCATTTAAAAAATATTGGAAATTTTGTCTTATTCACAAGATAAAAATTATTGCATAATTATTTAGTGAAACCCAAGTCAGCAACTCAAGCAGTAACTATTAGAATTAATCATTCAAGCCTGGTGTTGCTAGCACAGGTTTTTAATCCCAGCACTTGGGAGGCAGACACAGGCAGACCTCTGTGAGTTCAAGCCAGCCTGGTCTACAAGTGAATTCCAGGACAGCCAAGGTTATATACAGAGAAACCCTGTCTCACCCCCTCCCCAAATTAATCAATCTAAAGCAATACAGTAGGAGCAGTGGCTGGATATATGTTGAGGATTCATGGTAGAAAAATAGTAGAAGTCTTTGTTTAAGGTAAATAAGTCATTATGTTTCTATTAGCTAGGCCAATTTTTACTGTATGTATTAAACACTAAACACAGTGTACACAATAGACTCTTATCTGATCTGGGGCTTTCTAGGCAGCATTTTTGGCATTCCATGGTTTGCTGATATGTGCAGCACAAAGTGGGCATATTGTATGTTATATACCAAGATTTTAGTAAAATCACAAAATATAACACAGAGAAGTATGTGTAGAAACACCTTGGATTCATTATATTTAATTTTAAATTTATTTTTTTTTGCTGCATGTTCAGAAATATTTTCTGTTGTCAGGTGTTTTGTGACCCAACATTCATTTGTGCTACTCTATGAAAAATCTGTGTTCTAAATGTCCTGTAAATATGTTCATGTGCATCAGCCCCCACGGGCCCGTTCAAAGGCTATACACGCATGTTTTCTTGGTTACCCATTCTTTCAAGCAAAAAGCAATATAAATATTCAAAGAACATCAGATCGAGTATAAAAATCAGCCAAGCTTGGCAAACAGCAAAACCAGAACCAAACTTCCAATTAATAGAGGCAGACTAGAATCATATCAGACACATATCCACCAAAAAATTCCACATCCTAGATTACTTCACAGAAATGCAAGATCAAGAAAATATGTCCCCTTCAAAATCCATTAGTTCTATAGAAATGTTATTGAATAAGTATATTAATTAGATGAACCCCAAGACACATTAAAAATTATCCCCAAAGGGAGCAGACCAAATAGGAGGTGTGGCATTCTTGGAGTAAGAATGGTCTTGTTGGAGGAGGTGTGTTGATGTGGAGGCAGACTTTGAGGTATCATATATGTTCAAGCCATGCCCAGTTAGACAGTTCACTTCCTGTTTCCTTTGCAACAAGATGTATGGACTCTCAACTCTAGAACCATATCTACCTGTGTGATGCCTTGCTTCCTTCCATGATGACAATGTAATTGTTCACTAATTCAATATAATAATCTTAAAATATATTACACATATTTTGCTAGTTCAATAATTGATATCATCACATTTTTATTTAAAATATTTCATTCTCAACTTCATGAATACATAGATATTTTCATTGCCCTCAGTCTTACCTGATTTCAACCCAGCTTTCATTGTATAAATAGTATCTCTTTATAAATGCTCATATTTATGAACATGTCACCTTTTGCTTAAAATAGCATCTAACCATTAACTACCCTGTATGTATCCCTCGATAAACTTAACCTCCTTAACATAGATCTGCATCCTGTTTGAATTGACCTTTCCCTGATTTTCTAACTGATGTCAGAACTAAAGCTCAAGGAATGAAAATTAGAATAGATCTTGTTACTGCATACATAGAATAACAGAAGGAACTATCAAATCTGATGAAAATTAAAGTGCTCATGAGCTTCTGGAATTTAGGTCAGAGAAACAATAATGTCTTTGGTGCAGAAGTAAGAATGAAAATGACAGAAAACCTAATAGGATCTTGATATAACAGAGTGGGATATAGAACAAGATCAAGAACACAGTAATTCAAGCACAGGAGGCTACCACCTTGTCCCTGACATGTCTATATAGTTCATATTGTGATGGGTAGCTATTATAGGTTGAATTAACAGGTCAGAAGTGAAGATAGTGAGTAACAGGAAATCTATTATGTGTCTGATCATCTTTGTCTTCTGCTTAAAATGTTGCACTGATTGCTTATCAAGTGTAAGACAAAAATTTTTAACAGTATGAAGGGTTCCTCAAGCTTCTAACTGCCTATGAAACTGTACCTCCCACCCTTACCAACTTCTCTTCAGCCTGTTCCATCAGTAACTGCATGGTATGCTTTGTAATACCAGTGCTTTCTCACATACTGTTCCCATTCTTTTTATTTTGTTTTGAGACAGAGTTTCTCTGTTTAGCTTTGGAAACTCTCCTGCCACTTGCTCTCTAGGGCAGGCTGGCCTCGAACTTACAGAGGTCCACCTGCCTCTTCCTCACAAGAACTGGGATTCAAGGTGTGTGGCACCGCTGCCCAGTTTATTGTTTCCCCTTCTTGACATGGCCTTTGTTACTTCATTTCCAAGGTGAATTTGTTTATGCTCCAGATTTCTGCATAAAAATGACTAGCTCAGATTGAGCATTATGGCACAAACATTTGATCCCAGCACTTCAAAGGCAGCGGCAGACAGATTTCTGTGATTTTCAAGCAAACATGTTTGGCATAGGGATTTCTAGGTCACCAAGGATGACAACATGCAATACTATCAAAACCACATGAATAAATAAGGCTACTTCTAGGGGTATCCTTCTGAATGTTCCTTTTACAGAGCCAATCCATGTGTCTATTCTTGTGTTTATAAATGAGCAAATATTTTGAATATTTAGTATGGACCAGATTATGTTATATACTAAGAACACCATGAAAAATAGGATAAGTCAAACATGGCCATTACCCCTCTTTGTCTTATGTTTAGAAGTCAACACACATGCACAAACAAAATGACTCTCTGTTTAATATGTCCTATATATTAAGAAATAAGTACTAATATATTGAAAAGAGGATGAGGAGTAGACAGGGGAAAGTTACTTCATTATAAGTTTGAGTTATATAAAATTATTGGTGTTAGAACATTGTGTCTTATCACATTAATTTTTCATTCTGCAGAACTGATACTTGAACTTAAACCCGAAGAATTTTAACTATAATGCTCAAGTTTAGAAATTGTCATGTTTCATGAACCAAGAAAATTATGAGCAAAAGTTAGCGACTAGATTAAAATAATAGTAAGAATCAAGGTATTTCACATAATATATTTATAACATTTGTATTGAGGTTTGATAAAATGTTAAGCTTTTATTTTTTTCATGATCTCTCAGATTACTATGGGCCTGTAATAGAGATAGGAATTAGAAATAGAAGAAATAATTTAAAAATAGTCATGAAGGATAAATATGAAGTGTTATGTGCACATAGAATTTGAAAATAAAGCAGCTATGATTTAAATTCTGTTTACATATTAATTTTATCTCTGTTTCTTCATGCAAGTTATAGTCAGATTTTCTAAGCTTTAGTTTATCTGTTAAATGAGTATAAAAATAGGGTCAATTTCATAGACTTAGGATCAGGACTGAATGAGATAATCCATTGCAGTAATTATCAAAGTCCTTGGTTATAAATATTTAATAAATAATAGAGATTGAAATCAAATGTGAAGTAAGAGTGGCATGGACAAAGCTGATGACAATGTATTTGGTGGAAATAAGATTAGAATGATAATTATCATAAAGGTTTAAACAGCCCAATCCAGTAATGGTTTAGATATGAGAGATGAGAAAGAAGGATTTTCCAGATATTACACCTGGGTTTCTGTCAAAAGAAATGGGGGTAGATTTTTCTGTACTTACATCTGTCTGCCTGGTAGATTTTAACTGTACATCTTCCTCTCTTTACCATGTAATGGAGGAATGAAAGAAAGGAAAAATGGTATGTAAGAGTCTATGTGAAAGAAAAATGGTTATTAAACACTTCTGGTACCTGTCAGACACTTATATGAGATCTATCAAATACATTTAACTTTATAGCAATTCATAGTATATTGTCTGCACTAAGCAAAAATGAAATAAAGATTTTTCCTAAAGTGCAACAATTTTGAAATTTTCTTTTTAAACATAATATTTTAATAGTTGGAGAATATCATACAGTGTAATATGATAATATTTATCACGACTCATCCCTTAGTTTCCTCCAGATGCATTCTTCCATCTTCCACCCCCAAATTTGAGTATTCTTTTTTTAAAACCAATCCTCTGAATCTTTGTTTGTGCTGCTCATGTACTCATGGCTATGAGGTCATTCCCTAGACCATGGTCATCCTACCAGGAGCCACATCCTTAAAATACCAGCTGTCTCTCACTAGAATCTGTCAAATGTAAATAGTTCCTCTGTTAGAGATAGAGCTTGGAGCTCCTCCCATCTCTGTGCAAGAATGGTGACTGCTTGATCTTGCCCAGGAAAACACACCTACTATGAATTCATGAGTTTGCCAGTCTTAGCTTGTTCAGAAAACACTGGTTTGCTCTGTTCCTGTTCTACCTTTCATTTATACAATCTTCCCCCACCTTTTCAATAATGGTTATTAATGAAATTAAACTTATGTATTATTGTGTTAAAGGTGTTCAATTATTCTTTGATCTGCTTCTATCACAGAATGAAGACTACTTGGTAAACTAGTAGTAACGTTGGCAACTGGTAGCCTTCTCTGACAACCACCTGGCACCATGGGGAAACGTGATAACCGAGTGGCATATATGAATCCTATAGCAATGGCAAGATGGAGGGGTACAAGTCAATCTGCAGGTCCAACTATACAAGATTATCTGAATCGACCAAGGCCCACATGGGAAGAAGTAAAGAAACAATTAGAGAATAAAAAGAAAGGATCCAAGGCATTGGCTGAATTTGAAGAAAAAATGAATCAAAAATGGAAGAAAGAGCTTGAGAAAAGGAGAGAAAAATTATTAAGTGGAAATGTCAGTTCATCGAAAAAAAAAGAGAGAAAGAAAAAGAAAAAGAAGAAATCTTGTCGGTACACATCCTCTTCATCAAGCTCTGATTCATCAAGCAGTTCTTCAGATTCTGAGGATGAGCACAAGAAACAAGGGAAAAGGAGAAAGAAAAGAAAGAATCGTTCTCACAAGTCATCAGAAAGCTCCACCTGTGAATCAGAATTGCCAAGCAAGGAGCTTCCCCCAAAGAAGAAAAAGGCAAAGGATGAAATGGAAAAAGAAAAATATACCAAAAGCTACAGCAAGAAAAGAAAGAAGGCTTGTCCTGAGGAAAAGCCATCCTCTTCAGAATCCTCCTTCGAATCAGATTATGAAGAAGAGGTGCAGACAAAAAAGAAAAGAAAATATGATGAGCAAGAAAGAGAAATGGAAAAGGTCAAAAAGAAAAAAAAGAAGAAACATCACAAGAAACACAATAAGAAGAAAAAGAAGAAATCCAGTTCAAGTCATAAGTCAGCGTAACAGAAAAACCAAACAGGCTTTCCATATTTAAAATGAAGCAAAATCTAAAGGAAACTTCAACTGTGAAAAGCTAGGGCATATTTACCAAAATGCATGAGATTCCCTGTGTTAATAGAGTTATTCTGGACTTTAAGTTGCCAGTATAATGCCACTGTGCCAGAAAAGGCTGTATTTGTTGCCTGCAGCTTATATAGATATGAGATTTTGTTTGTTAAATGTCTGTCTTTATGCGTAATAGTTGCTCCTCTTGAAATCAAAACTCAGTTGTCATACTAGTGTTAAAATGTTTGGATTTCAAATGCAATGTTTTAGGCAATGAATGATTTTGACCAAAAATATATCTAATGTTAAATGTATGTAATTTTTAGATATCTTTAAAATGTAGTCAGAAACATGACTACAATTATAGTTGACATTTTGAAGATAAGACAGCATTGTTGTTCAAAATTAATTTTGTAGAATGTGTGGTTGGTTACATTTTTCAAGAAGTTTTTGTTTACATTGGGGAAGGGTGTAAGTCAGGGAGTGGGAAGGGAAAGTGTTTGCTACTCTGGCTAGCTGAATAGTGTGCCTTTAATCCTTACACATCTTATTTTGCCAGTGCAGCAGCCATTTATTTTTTACATACTGAAATTGTAGAATGTTGTTATGTATTTATCAAGAGAACCAGAAAGCAGTTTACAGCATAAAGCCCCAAAGCTATGACATTTACCTCCACTTCAGCACAATTCACTCTCCAGTACTAAATGCTATTTAACATTAGAACACTGCATGATTTGAATTAACTGTTGGTTTTTGAAGGAGAATAATTTTAAACTGTCCCTGGTTTTGTTTTGTTTTTGTTGTTTTCTATGAGTAAAAATTAGGATTTTGTGAACCTTATCCTGCCATTTTAATTAGCCAGCCATATTCTTAATGACAGTGATACTTTTAAAAAGAATTTATGGTTAAGATATAAAGTTCAAGTTTTTCATATGTTAAACTTTGGGTGTTAATTTCATCTCATTACTGTGTTTAAATTGCATGTTTCCCAAAAACATTTAGCATGTAAAAAGAAGGTCTTTAAGAAATTGTAATGCCTTCATATTGAAGCTGGTTTACTAAAAGCAAGTTGACTGTCAGACTTTTAGTATAATGTGTGTCTTGTTACATGAACTACTGCCAAAATATTAGTATGTTCATTAAAAGTTTTTTGTCTTAAATATTAGCATTGAAGTATAATGGAAGTTAAATTTAGGTAATGATTATATAATTTATCTTTTTGTGTCCATATATTACTAAGATCCGGTGCCTTGTGTCTGTTGCTGATTCGTATTCACCACTGATGTTAAAAATTAGTTGGAAAATATTTTTACTTTAAATTTCTATATCAGAGTAGTATAAAATATAAGTTTATGTTTCAAAAACATCTATCACAGAAGATACACTAATATTGCCATGGTATAATGTGTTTTGTCATGATGAGAAAGGCTCAGTGTTTCTTTCAGATGAATTAACCTCAGATTCTCTGAAACAAAAGCAAAATTATAGAAAACATCTAGTAGATAAATGACTTGTCATCTATGCAGACTCTTTCAGTGGTAGTGTTTAACTCTCTCAATGTGGTTTTTTCAGTATTGTAGTAATGCCATGCCAGATCACTTTAGAATTTCATAAATATAACTGTTTCTTAGAACATATCTATATGTATATTGCTGTTAAAATTGTTGCAATTAAGGGGTATTTTATAGCCATATAGCATTTTTCAATAGCATTCATTAAATGTTTTTAAAATCTATATTATTTGTAGAATATGGTAAAAACAATTACAATTCATCTTATAGCTATGTGCTCCCATTAACTTACCAGCTCTTTGTAGTTAGGTGGTTCAATTTGACTACTTAGAACTGGGAAATTGAAAACAGAAGTTATGTGCCATTTCCATCTTTGAGCAGAAACAATTCCTGCATGACATTTCAGCTGTCTCTTTACCTTCTACCATAACTGGAATGAGAAGGCCAAACTCTAAGAATGGCGCAAGCTGTATCTTTATGTCACACTACAAGAAGTTTGCCCTGGAAAGCTCATGAACATGCAATGGACTTTTTGAGAGTAATGAGATTAATAAATAAATTATTATGTGTTCAATCACTTAAATCTTGGGTTTCTTCTTTTTGTATCACCATCTAACCTAACATGAAGAAAAACAGAAAAATCTATGTTTTAATGATTTACAAAAGTAAATCAATTACCTTATTAGACACTTCTACAGATGGCTGATTAATACAAAGAATATCATATATGTCGTACTGAAAGAAAACGTTTGTGATTGATTGTGATATGGAGGTGTTATCCAAATAAACCCTTTCCTCCCCCTCAAAAAAGAAGGAACATGTTCATTTTAATTGTATTCATTTTCACATACTGACATATTTTCACTCGGAAATAGGTTGAATTTATATCCTATTTCATTCCTCTGATGAAAGCCTAAACAAATATGCAGGAACAAATTAGAGAAAAATATTTAAAATATTTACTGCTATTTGATGAGGAAGAATACTGATATATTTAGGTATAAGTACATGTTATTATAGAAAAAGTGCTCTAGAAATATGTAAGGACTAATAGACTAGGTAGATTAAGTGAATATTTAACAATTAGTCTCCATATTGATGCATTATCTCCACCTGCGAAGCACTGAAATTGTTTTTAATTGTTTGTTTATGTGATTAACAAGAAAGCTGCAACCAAGGTCTTCAAGTAACATTTACTTGGTAGGGGAAACAACAAGGACATTAATAAGAAAGAGAGAGGTTGGAAAAATCAATACAATCTAGATTAGGAATTTTGTTTCACGGACATAACGGATCTGGGAGATCTCAGACTGAAGAGAAAAGATTAAGTTGAGATAAGAGAATGATTAAATTAGTTCCCTAGCTTTGCACTCGGTGATAACATTGTAATATATTTTTATTTTGATTTATTAAAATTGTCAATTATATTACAATAGGCAAGCTTATTTGTTAGAGTACAAATATCACCATATTTCCCTCTTTGTCTAAAGAAAAGGTTATAACTAATATGAGAATAACTGCGTGGAATATGTACAATAAATATATACAATATATACACACAATAAATACATCAACAATGTCTAGTCCATTAGCAATTGCCAAATTAAAAGGAAACACTCCATATCTATCCTATCTTGGTGAGTCCAAAATGTTGTACCTAATTGACTTTCTATTCTAATTTGTATTGCCAAAACTATCTTTTAATGACTCTCAACTTTATACACTTTATATCTCCTTGATGAATATAGTGAATAGTGTGTGTCTGGGGGGGGGTTCGTATTACAGATTTGTGTGTGAGGGTGAGCATGATTGTAAGCCAAAGGTTGTCATCTATGCTTCACTTTTTTTCTCTGGGGGGAGACAGTGTTGTACAGGGTCTCTCACAGAACTGGAATATCACTGATTCAGCTAAATCAGCTAGCCATGAATTCCTATAATTATCCTGCCCAACTCCCAGCACTGGGTTTACAGATATATATCACATTTTAAATGATGATTGTGATCCAATCTCAGGTCCTCATGATTTTATCACAAACATTTTGCTACGTCACCATTTCCAGAGCTCTCAGTAGTCATTTCTGTTTAGCTATATTTTATAAAAATATTTTATTTAACATGTTACTTTATAGTTAATTTATGCCTTATGAACATTTTAGGCTGATATTCAGAAACATCCTTGTCTTGTACTTGAGATTAACTGACATTTTTATTACTTCCTGGGATGCAAAAAAGGACATTAGGTTTTTATCAACATGTACTCTCTTTTTGAAACATGTGTTTTAAAGCAAAATATTGTATGTCACAGGTAGGGCTCAAAACTCACCATGTAGCCCAGGAATAACCTTAACTGTCACCATCCTGCCTCTGGCAATGCTAAGAAGACAGGCATATACCACCATAACAGATTTATGCCTGGAAAAGAGTGAGTAGCATGTTTACTTGTCTCTTTATTGGCACTGTCCTAGTTTGTTTTCTATTATCATGATGAAAAATTTGAGTAGAAGTAACTTGTGGATGAAAGTGTTTATTTTGCTTATACATGAACATCACTATCCATCATCCATCTAGAGAAGTCAAGAGTGAAGCTCAAGGTAGGAACTGAAACAAAGGCTATGAAGGAAAGATGGTCAATGACTTGCTCTCATGCTTCCTTACACAACCAATGATCACCTGTCCAGGCATGGCAGCACTAACAATGGGCTGGACCCTTCCGCATCAAGTAACATACCAGTATGTTGAAAGTGCCTTCATAATTGAGGTGCCTTCTTCCCTAATGATGCTAGGTAGGGTTAAGTTGACAAAACCATACTACTAACACAGATACATTTGTCAATTTGCCTTGTATCCCTGTATTAAAGAATTTATATCCTCCCAGATTCAGTTGCTAAGATCCTGTCTCTCAGATAATCAGATTTGAATCCTTATTCTATGTTTTCTTGATATGTGACCTCCAGCAAATTGGTTCACCTGTTTGAAACTCATCTTCTTCATATACAAAAATCAGCAAAATAATAGTAATTATCTCAAAGACTCCTGCAAGAATCACATAACACTTGAAGCATTTAATTCTGTCCTCAACACACAGCATATATTTGCAGGTATTTTTCTCCTCCTCTTGATATTTTTTAACTTTTTGTCTTTATTTTTAAGACATGCTCTCACTATGTATCCCTTGCCATCCTAGATTCCATTATGTAGACCAGACTGTCCTTGAACTCACAGATATCTTCCTGTCTCTGCCTCCTAAGTGCTGGCTTTAAAGGTACATGTACCATATCTGGCATATCATCATTGTTTTCTATTGTCTTTATCATTATTTTTGCACAATCACTTCACATGTACTATTAACCTCTTAAAGCTGGAGAGTTTTTCATTTTTTTCTCTTATAATCATGGCAGATAATGTTCATTTCTTTTTTTTTTGTTTTGGTTTTATGAGACAGGGTTTCTCTGTATTGTTTTGGAGGCTGTGGGTCCAGCCTGGCCTCGAACTCACAGAGATCCGCCTGCCTCTGCCTCCTGAGGGCTGGGATTAAAGGCGTGCACCACCACCGCCCGCCTAGGAGCTCTTCATTTTAATGAAAGTAGTATATCAGGTCATATAAGAAAGGAGACTCTAAATAATTGAATGTACTAAATGGCATCTATTTACTCTCTTTTTTATAACATCTTGAGATATAGTTTGTATGTTAATGTCTTCTTCATTCAATACAATGTTAATTATAGTCACATATATATTTGCATGAGCAGTTGGAGTTAGAAGATTTCAATCACTACACTGAATAGTTCATCACACACACTGAGAAAGAGAGAAACAGGGACAAAGTCAGAGAGAGGGGAGAGTGAAGGATGGAAGTAAAGAATAAATAAATATAATTAAATTAAATTCCATTCCCCTTATATGCCCTTCCTCTACCACCAATGCTTCTCCAAGCCTTTGGAAACTACAGATGTACCTTCTGTCTCTGTGGTTTTTCCTGTTCTAGGCATGTAACGTATATAGAATGATAACACAAGCAATTTTATATCTAGTTTTGTTCAGTTAGCATATTTCTACTGATATGAAAGTAATATTTATTTATTTTTTGAAATTTTCAAACACATATATAATCTATTTTTCTTATATGCAACTCCTCCTGGACTCCCTCTTTGAACATGACCTCTGCAAACTCCACATTTGATCATTTTTTAAACTGCTTATTGAGTCCAGTTAATACATGGATATGCAGCTATCCTCAGGAGCATGGGCAAGTTATCAGTGTCCATACACACAAAGAAAAAGGACTCTCCCTGTTGTATCCTAATTTGGAAACTACGAAGAAAGCTATTGTAACAACCTTGTGCAAAGTTGTATATGACCAAAAGCCATCAGCTATTTACAGATAAATACAGTATTAGGGATGTGCTATTATGGCCAAGATGTCTGACATAAACAACACAAGGAAGGCAGATTTATTTTGGCTTACATTCATCCCAAGAAGGTTTTGCCTTAAGTACTTAGATGTAACATCAAGGGAGTGGAAACACCTGACAGAGGAGCTTATTTACTTCATTTCAGACAGAAATCAGAGGGAATGAGATTGAAGAAAAGTATCCCTAAGAACCTATTCCAAGTGGTATATTTTGTTAGTGGCATATCAGCTCCTAAAGTTTCAAGAATATGACTAACATCACCAGCTAGGGACCAAAGACATGGGCTTTTGTGGTGCACTTGTATCCAAATCATACCAAATATCAAGAAGTATGACTGCTGGATCATTTGCTCTAATTTTTATAATTCTCACCAGATTTACATAGAACATATACTCTGTTTTATAATTAAATGTTACTGTGCAAATTCAAATCTAGTTATTTGAAACTATTCTATTTGATAATCAGCAATACAGTTGTCTAGAACTCATTCATCGAACAGGAACTATTTTCATGTCAAGAATAAAGCAGTGTAAGACCTGTATCCTACAACCAAGGGAAACACGTTGTTATCTTTTAAGATTTAGAGGTTGAATATATGTCTTTATGACTGGAAATTTTCTGCTATCTTCATTACATTGGTTTATAACGTGCATTTGTACTTTCACTTGGAGCTGGTGAAAAGCCCATTCTTTCCCATCATCAAATTAAAATTGGAAGCATTACATGTTACCAAGAGATGCACTGGAACAACCTACCAAATGTACAATGTGTGCCTTCCAAATCCTGAAAAATAGACCAAGCATTGTAATTATTTTTAATGGTTGGTGGTGAAAACTTCAGCACCTTGGCTCTCATTTTGGAGTGAATCTTTCACATATATTGAAGAACAATGCACACAGTGATTCATTAATATTACAAGTTATGAATTTTTGTATGTGTTTTCTACTCAGTGGCATTCATAGGTCATACTAAAGTATCCATTGCAATGTTGCTCACTTTATGATGCATGGAATTTTGTCAGTTCCTAAAGTGTTTCACATTGGTGTAATATGACATACATACAGAAATGGAAATATGTAAAAATTATCTGAAAACTTGGCAGAATTGAAGTTAGCATTTCTTTTTAAATTGTAAATCTGGAAAACTGATTCAGTGTTAGTGAAATCTGATA